AGGGACGGGCAACTTAGACATTGGTTATGTAAAATGAGGGGGCATGGAGTGACTGGCTTGCAAGATTTCAAGGGGGAGTTTAGTTTAAGAGTGTGTAGGGGAAGAAAGAGTCCCCACTGAATAGTTTTCATCTTGTCTAGATGGGTCTGGTGAAAAGAGATGGGAATAAGATTCTTATGATTCAATAGTGAGTAATTATTATCATGACTAATTGAAACAGTCACAATTATAAAGATAAAAGTTTTGTATCAAAACTGGGGGAGTATTGGGACTCTAGACCCAGAGAAGGAGAGTGGCTGTGTGCCAGCGACCAGGGGGCAGGCATGCGGGGTATACCCTTTGGTTGGTTGATGATGCATAAAGGGGATTGTAACCATGGCAATGTAATGATATATGATAGGATGAATGTAAAGCTAATGCTCTCCCATGTAAACTATCACATAATTCACAATAAAACAGATTCAAAAACAAAACAAAACAGTGTCCTGGTGGCACAGTGGTAAAGTGCTTTGCTGCTAACTAAAAAGTTAGTAGTTCAAACCTACCAGCTGCTCTGAAGTAGAACGATGTGACATAAAGATTTGTTAAGTGTTGCTGAGTTTGTTCAGAGTCATTGTGACCCTGTCTAGGGTTTCCAAGGAGTGGTTGGTGGTTTGGAACCACCTGTTCTATACAGTCACTAAGGAGCTCTGGTAGTGTAGTGGTTATGAATTGGGCTGCTAACCTCAAGGTGAGCAGTTCGAAACTACCAGCTGTTCTGAGGGAGAAAGATGAGGCTTTCTGCTTCTGTAAAGATTTACAGCCTCAGAAACCCTGTACAGGATTGCTATGAGTCAGAACCGACTCCGTGGCACATAACCACCACCACCACCAAACAGTCACTATGAGTTGGGATCTACTTGATGACGTAGATACTCAATTTCAAGTTAAATAGTTGATCAGTGGTGTATAATGGTGCCTTTACTTTGAAATATGTTTTGTTGTTAAGTGCTTTGGTACATAGGGTTGCCAAGGCTCGGAAATGACTCAACAGCCCCTAACGACAAATATACCATTGTACAATACTGTATGCATACTACCTTATATTGAGGTTTAGAGTGTTAGCATACATTGGGTATTTCTGCCTAATCCAAAACTTCCCAGCCCATTTGTAAATCAGTGGAACAGAGAACCATAAGACCATCAAGAGAGAAGAGCAAGAGCGGAATGGAATCCTAAACATAGAAGCAGTGACACCAGAGATGAAGGCAGCGGTGATGAAATGGAGAGATAGAGCAGCTGAGGACGCTAGACTCATGGACTCATGGAAAGAGAAAATCTGTGTGCTGGCAGGCTGGAGGCAGCCTTGCAAAACGTGCCCTTTAGTTGTTTAAACAATGATATATTCCTGCATGTTTTTGCGTACACCAAAAAAAAAAAAAAAAAAAA